GAGGGAAAAAAAAACACAGACACAATTAATCGTCGATTCCCCAGAAAATATGGGAAAATATGGGAAGTGGGGGGGAAGACGAAAACCCAGAAAATATGGGAAAATATGGGGAATCTTTTTATTTGTGTGTATTTATTTGTGTGTCCTGGGGCCCCTAGGCAGGGGAGCATGCTCGGAGGAGGAGGGGCAGTGGCGGAGGTGGAGGTGCGGCGCGGAGGGAGGACGAGAGGAGGGAGGGAGGGAGGGGGGAGGGAGGCGGGAGGAGGGATGGGAGGGAGGGAGGGAGGGAGGGAGGGAGGGAGGGAGGAGGAGGAGGAGGAGGAGGAGGAGGAGGAGGAGGAGGTCGGAGTGGACGAACGCTGCGGGCCTCGATGCTCAGAGCCTGGGCACCGTGATAAAGATGGGGGTGGTGGAGTGCAGCGAGGATGAGGACGAGGGGTGGGGGGGGACTGGGATGCAACTCCTTGGCACGTTCAATTCTGTATCGGCATTGGTATTTCAGCGGAAGACAACGACGACGACGACGACGACGACGACGACGACGACGACGACGACGACGACGACGGCGGCGAAGACGACGACGACGACGACGACGACGACGACGACGACGACGACGGCGGCGGCGACGACGACGACAGCGACGACGACAGCGACGACGACGACGACAGCGACGACGACGACGTCGACAGCGACGACGACGACGACGACGACGACGACGACAACGACGACGACGACGACGACGACGACGACGACGACGACGACGACGACAGCGACGACGACGACGACGACGACGACGACGACGACGATGTTGACGACGACGGTGGCGGCGGCGGCAGGCGGCGGCGGCAGATGGCGGCGGCGGCGGATGCAGCCTGGCGGCTTGCCCACAGGCCGCCCTGCTGCAGGACTACGTCCGGCACGCCCCGCCGCCCTTCCGCCCGCTCGCCCGGGGGTGCTCGGGTCTCTGCGGAGATCGTCTCGGCGCGTGGACGGCGTCGGGCGAACGTCTGCTGCGCGTGAGAGTAGCTGCAAGGGTCGAGGTTCGCGGTGTTGAACGTTTTCGCAGGTTCCCGATGGTTCTCCAGCGTCGAGGTACCCTCCAGCAGCTGCGCCTCGCTGAGAGCGTTCCCGGGGTGCCCGGAATGCCAACTCGCAGCACTCACTGCCTGGGTCCTGGGTCCGTCCTGTCGATGGCAGATCGGCTGCACGACGTAGCTTGCCTTGCACCTGTCCGGCACCGCCGCCCCGGCCAGAAGCCAGGGGGAAGGGGGGGTGCAACGCCGAGCGCGGGCAAGGACGCCTGACGATTCGGGGGGACAACTACCCCGGAGGGGGAGAGAGGGGGGGAGGAGGAGGGGAGAGGAACGGCCGCCAAAGACTCCCGAGCGAGCTCCGGTGCGGGCACGCGGGGCTCCCGCCAGCACCGGCCGGCGGCGCAGGCGATGCGCGCTGCCTGGGCTTCCACCGGGCGGCCCCCCCGAAGACGCGCGCAGGCAGCACAGGCCGCCGCTGCTCTCAGAGGGTCGCTCCGGCGCGCCGGCGGGCGCGTCCGCGGCCCCGGGCCGAGCAGCGGAGTGGGGGCCATTCCACCATCATCGTGGACGGGGAGGCGGCGGGGGTGTGGGGAGCGCGTGATCGGTCGCTGCCCGCTGGTCGGCGCCATCCCGACGATCAAGGAATGCATCCGCGATCTCCATCGCCCATGGAACCATGTGCCTGAGCATCCCCGCGCCGCACCTCATCTTAGCCGTCTTCGCTTTCTTCAACGGAGAGGCGCCAGGCGCGAGGGCGGGGGGGGGGAGCGCGGGATCGGTCGCTGTGGAGGGGGGGGGGGGACAACGGAGAGGCGAGCGCAGGCGTGTCTCGAGGGGGCGTGGAGTAGCGACGGGCCCCGCTTCCACGGGAAATCGCGGACTTCCGCCGCCGAGCGAGGCGGTACCGGCCGCAGTGTGGGGAGGGCACCTCGCCCGATCCATGAACTTGGCGACCGCGCGCCAAATCCATATGGATCGCTAATCCATGTTTGCGCGCCTCTGGCAAGGGAGAAGCGCGAGGCGCGAGGGCGAGGGGGGGAGCGGCGGTGTCCTTTCAGAGCCTCCTCTGGGGCGCGCCCCTGCGGGGATCGCAGGCGTTGCAGTAGGTTCTCAGGTGGGGGGCGCTTTGTATCAGGACACGGAGGGCACAGGGGAGCGCGTGGTCGGTCGCTGGGGAGGGGTAGGGGAGGGCCGATGGCGTAGGGGGAGATCGAGGGGGGGAAGGACACGCTAGGTCTAAGTTGGGCCTGTCAATTTACAGGAGGAATATTCAAAAATAGTAGAAAAATAGCCTGGGACGATGTTTCACAATGTTTGACTGTTTTGGAGGTATTGTTTGACAACTTCTCATTTTTCGCCCAAAATCCGCCTGTAGGGGGACATGCCCGACCTGACGCTGGGCGCGCTTGCGCTTCATCTGGTATCCTATCCCTCCCTCCCAGCCCTTCCCATGGCGTTGAGTTTTCAGTGTCCGCGGGCGCGTGTCATAGCTGACCTGCGACTCACACAGAAAGGTCACTTCGTGTTACGCGCAATCGGAGATAGGGGAGCTTCGCGCACAGGAGGAAGAGGAGGATGAAGAGGAGGAGGAGGAAGAGGAGGAGGAGGAGGAGGAGGAGGAGGTGGCGGGGGAGCAGGAGGATGAGCGGGAGGAAAAGGCTGAGAACGAACAGGAAACGGAAGGATCTGGATGGAAAGAAGGACCAGGGGAAGGCGGAGGAGGGGAAATGAGGGGGAAGACAGCGATGAAGAACGGCTCGGATTCAGAACAGTGGCCCGCGCTGGGGCGAGACGGGCGGCATCAGCAGCAGCAGCAGCAGCAGCAGCAGCAGCAGCAGCAGGAATTGGATTGGAAGGAGCGAGAGATTCAGGCGCACCAGGGGAAGGTTGAGGAGGGGAAATGAGGGGGGGGGGGGGGCAGCACAGTGAAGCAAGACTCGGATTCAGAAAAGTAGCCCGCGCTGGGGCGAGAGCGCCAGTCTGAACCATGGGAGCAAGGCGCCGATGCGAAAAGGAGGCCCACGCTGCAGCGGGAGCACCATTTTGAAGCACGGGAAACACTTGGGGTGGGCAAACAAGCAGCAGAACATCAATATTTGAAATCCTGTGTGGAACAAAAAACACAGCTCGCTGCTGAGGGGGAGGGAGATCTGCTGGACAACTTCAGGGGAGGAGGGGGAGTAGTATTTAGATTGCTTGGTTGTAAAAAAGGCGAAGGCAAGGACGCGAGGGGGGGGGAGGGGAGCAGGCATGGGTCGCGGGGAGAGGGGGCTGCCTGCTGCATGGGCGTCGCACCACTCCTGATCGCTGGAGGACGCCGGGTGGGAGGGTTGAGAGAGAGAGGGCTTCCGCCCTCTCCCAAGAAACTGAGTCCTGGCGGTCAGCCGTCAAGCTTGGCTACCGCCCGGAACTCTCGGAGCTCCCTCCTCCTTCCATCCCCCCCTCCCCTTCTCGGGTGTTGCCAGAAGTGCCCCTGCCCCAAGGTGCCCCCAGTTTTTCGCTCCATGTTGGAGCCCCTGGGGCCCTCTGAGCCTCGTGAGGGGTGCCCTGGAGGCCGTGTGGGCCACCCCGAGAAATCTGGGGGTAGCTTGGGCCAGGGGTACTTCTAGCAGCACCCGACCTTCTTGCGGCAGCCACCGCTTGCTGGGGGATTTTCCACACTGGCCTCCCCAGGCGAGGCCGCCCACGTGCAGCCCTGTCCTGGTTGCCAGAGGCGCGTGGCATCCTTCCACGCCGCCTTTCGCGCAAGGACGGCATACCAGTGTTGTAGCGCCGGGCCGGGTCCCACGACCCCCCCGCAACCACCCAACACAGAGGGGGGGGACCCCCCCCCCTTTCCGTCCCCCTCTTCACCTCATGCCCCTCCGCATCCCTACTCCCTCCCACCTCGTGCTCCTGCTCATGCTCTTCCTCCTCCTCCTCCTCCTCTTCCTCCTCCTCCTCCTCCTCCTCCTCCTCCTCCTCCTCCTCCGTCTTCTCCTCCTCCTTCTGCTCCTCCGCTTCCTCGGCTCGTCTCGGCCCATCAGGCATCCTATTCGTAGCCACTAGAGGTGCAGAGAGAGAGAGAGAGATGGGACTGAATGTAAAAGGCGGCGCGGTGCGACCTATGCACACGCATGCACGCGCACGAGGGCAAGGGGGGGAGGGGGCCTGCAGCCCGAGGGCCGGGACGGCATCAGCCGACCGTGCTGTTGTGGGGCGCGCCAGTCGTGCCCCCGTTGGAAGCCAGAACGGGAATCCAGCGGTGCAAAGACAAGGTCTCGGCCATTCGTGGATGCCCCCCCCCACTCCGTGAGAGAGCCCGCAGCAGCATGGAGTACTGCCGCGATGGAGCAAGCGAGGGCGGAGGCGAGACGGCGATTGAGTTCGGACGGATACTCCTGAGCACTGGCAGCATGCCGTGTCCCCCGGAACGACAGCGCCCATCAGGACACGATGCAAGTGCCCGAAAGCCCAAAAAGCCCTCCAGGGCCTGGCGTCGACAAGTCCACGCAACGTCGGGCACAACGCCCCCAGGAGCCTGCCTGGTAGGCGGACCGAGACCCCGGGGAGTTTCGACAGCGGCGGCGCCGCCGCCTTCTCCGCCTCCTCCTCCGCCTCCTCCCCTCCTCGTCCTCCTCCTTCTCCTCCTCCTCCTCGGCCTCGTCCTTCTCGGCAACTACCAGCTCCTCCTCCGCCACCCTCTCCGCCTCCTCCTCCTCCTCCTTCTCCTCCTCCTCCTCATCATCATCATCATCATCATCCTCCTCCTCCTCCTCCTCCCCTCCTACTTGTATCATACTCCTCCCCCTCCCCTTCTCTTCCTCCTCCTTCTCTCGTCCTCGTAATGTCCTCCTCCCTCCTCATCTCCTCCTCCTCCTCCTCGTCCTCCCACTCCTCCCCCCTCTCCCTTTCCTCCTCTCCTCCTCCTCCTCCTCCTCCTCCTCCTCCTCCTCCTCCTCCTCCTCCCATGTCCTTCCTCCGCCGAGCGGCTCAAGCTGGGGCCGCCCCCGCGCCGGAGGCGCGTACGCTCCCCTTGCCCGCGGCGCGGCGCGGAGCCGCGCCCGCGCGTGGCACGCGGCGCGTCGGGGCGGGGGTGGGGGGCGCCTCCTTGCCAGTGCCCCCCTCGACCAGGACATTGCTAAGGAAGGGGATGGAAAGGGAGGAGGAGGAGGAGGAGGAGGAGGAGGAGGAGGAGGAGCAGGAGCAGGGGGGGGAGGAGGAGGAGGAGGAAGCGAGGAGGAGGAGGGGAGGAGGATAGGAGGAGGAATGGGGGCGGAGCAGGAGGAGGCGGCGGAGGAGGAGGGGAAGGAGGAGGAAGAGGGAGGAGGAGGAGAGGAGGAGAGAGAGGTAGGAGGGAGAGGAGGAGGGGAGAGTGGAGCAGGAGGCAGGAGCAGGAGGAGAGCAGGAGCAGGAGTCAGAGAAGGAGCAGGAGAGGAGAGGAGAGGAGCAGGAACATGAGGGGGCAGGAAGCAGGAACAGGAGGAGGAGGAGGAGAGAAGGAGGAGAAGGAGGAGAGGAGGAGGAGAAGATTGATTATGTGAAAGGAGGAGGAGGAGGAGGAGAAGGAGGAGGAAGAATGAGGAGGAGAGGAAACAGGAGTAGGAGGAGGGAGGCGGGAGAGGAGGAAGGAGGAGAGGTGCGTAGAAGGAGGAGGAGGAGGAGGAGGAGGAGGAAGAGGGGAATGGGGGGAGGAGGGATGAGGGCTGAGGGAGGAGAGAAACTTCGGGTTGCGCACAGATGGTCCTCCTAGGCAGCCACCTCTGGCCTCAACAGGCGCCGCGGGTAGCGTGCAACGGTCTCAACACGGCCCATCGTCGGTTCCTTGGCGGTCCCTCGGAGGCCCTTTGGCGGCCCCTGCACTTGTCGCGATCGCCGTCGTCGTTTCTGTCCCTTTTCCCCCCCGCCCGCGCTGGGGCGCACGGGGGCGGGGGGGGGGCTGCAAGGGGGGAGAGGGAGGAGGGGGAGAAGCGGTGGGAGGAGGAGAAGGAGAACGGCAATGGGGGAGTGGGGGGAGGAGGATGGGGGGGGGGGAGGGGGAGGGGAGAGAAAGGATGATAAGAGGGGGTGATGATGAGAAGGAGCAGGAGAAGAAGGAGGGAGGAAGGAGGATGGAGGAAGGAGGGGGAGGTGGATGGGGGAGTGAGAGAGGGAAAGAGAAGGGTGAGGAGGGTAAGGAGGAGCTGGAGCCGCCCTTGTCTTCACCGCCTAAACGCCTTTACCTCTTCCCTTCCTCGTCCTCCTCCTCCTCCTCCTCCTCACCACCACCATCACCACCATCACCACCATCACCACCATCACCACCACCACCACAACCACCACCACCACCACCACCACCACCACCACCACCACCACCACCACCACCACCACTCCCCTTTTCGCGCGCGGGAGGTGGGGGAGGAGGGAGGAGGACTTCCGAATGGTCTTGTGTAGTCTTGATCGTCTTCGGCCACCAGAGGAGCGCAGTGAAGGGAAGAACGACGATGGAGGGAGAGAAGGGGGAGGATGGGGCGTGGGAAGAGGAGGAGGAGTTGGACGAGCAGTGGCGTGAGGGTGGCATGTTTCTTCAACGAGCGCCCCCCAGCTGTGTCCCTGCCTGTACGCCTGCGGGGTGGGGGGGCGGGCGCGGCCGATGCCGCAGTACCTGGCGCGCAGGCGGCAGTCGTGGAACGAAAGCCACCACGTCGTGCGCTCCATGGGGAACCATCTGGCGCCGAAGGGCCAGAGGACCTGCTTTGACTACGACCGAGAGGATGAGGAGATGAGGAGGAGCACTGAGGGGAGAAGGATGATCATTTAGGGGGAGGAGGAGGAGGAGGAGGAGGAGGAGGAGGAGGAGGAGGAGGAGGAGGAGGAAGAGGAGGAGGAGGAAAGAGGAGGGAGGAGGAGGAGGAGGTGGGAAGAGGTGGAGGAGGAGGAGGAGCGAGAATGTGGAGGTGGAGGAGGAGGAGGAGGAGGAGGAGGAGGAGGAGGGTCGAGGCAAAGGAGGAGGATGAGGAGGAGGACAAGGAGGAGGACAAGGAGGATAAGGGAGGAGGAGGAAAACGAGGACGACCAGGATGATGAGCAGGAGGAGGAGGGGGAGAAGAAGGAGGATGAGGAAGAAAAACAAGAGGGAAGGCAAGGACATCATATGAACAGTATCCCTGGTTCCTTGCAGATCGGTTTTCTAGGCGTTGGTTAAGTCTGTTTGGCATCTAGACTCGCACCACATGGTGGCGGGCACACACGTTCTTCGGCGAGCGTCGGCTTGACGCCGTCTTGTGTCTCGACTCGGGGTGAAAAGTGGTGCGTACACGCAACTTGTCCTAGGACCGAACGGATTTTCTGCATCGGCGCTGTACCCCCTCCAGTGCGCGAAGCGCGCCGGTGTCGACGCTGGCCTGTCACGGCCCAAGAAGTCCGCGCGAATCTCCGGAAGTGCGTGCTTGTGCAGACTCCCCATTGTTTTGCTGGCCTGGGCTCCGCAAGGACGAGGAGGAGAAGGGGGAGGAGGAGAGGAAGGGGCCTGCCCCTGCCTCCTCCACCCCAGCCCCGCGCCATCACGCGCGCGGGGGAGGAGGAGGAGGAGGAGGAGGAGGAGGAGGAGGAGGAGGAGGAGGAGGAGGAGGAGGAGGAGGAGGAGTATGAGTCAAGCTAGCCAGCTCGAGCGAGTCAAGCATGGCATGCCCAGTCCCACCCGCCCTCCACAACATAAGAAGCAAAGCTGGCACAACTGGGGGCCGAAGTCACACCGGCCAGCCGGTTTGGTACAGCTGATGCGGCCGCGATGGCGGTTGCCGACGGGAACTGAGCTGCCTGAGCGCTCTCCTTTGCATACACCATGTTACTATAGTCTATCTCGAGACGCGTCAATGTGGAATTGGCGTATTAGGCGCGCGCATTGCCAGACGAGTCGAGAATGGCCCGGTACACCGCAGGAAACCAGAGGTGCCGGAGGAAGCCCGACGGTCTGACAGGACACCCCAAAGCATTTTTGTGAAAAAGCATAGGGTTTTTGATGTTTTTATGTTGAAATGCTTGCAAACACACGGTGTTCGGTAGGATTCTGCCATGAACGCGCGAGTGTGAGCCATTTTTGGTGGTGTGAAAACTAGGCTGTTATGTTAGGGTTTTTGATGTTTTTATGTTGAAATGCTTGCAACACACGGTGTTCGGTAGGATTCTGACATGAACGCGCGAGTGTGCTCTTTGTGGTATTTTTTGCACAGGATTCGCGGCCTGGGTGAATGACAGAGCATCGCGAGTGCACCGCGCGATGACGTGAAATCGCTGGATTTGACAGAATTCTTAAGATTCCTATGGTTTTCCTATGATTTCAGCAAGAGAGCCCGGGCGGGAAATTTGTACAATTTTTGTGAAAAAGCATTGGGTTTTTTGATGTTTTTATGTTGAAATGCTTGCAAACACACGGTGTTCGGTAGGATTCTGACATGAACGCGCGCGTGTGCTCTTCGTGGTATTTTTTGCAATGGATTATCGCCGTGGACGACAGGACGTCCATGTCGAGAGGAAAAAATAAGAAACATGTTGATTTTGTATTGTTTTTTTTACAGGTTAGGATGGGACCACCCGGATGCGCCCGCTATCTGCCGGCCTGAGGGGGGAGTAGGAGTATATTCTAATAAGGAATAAGGATATGACCATGTGACAAAGTCAACTGTGCCAACCTTACGTGACGAATTACACATGAAGGCATGACTATACACGACCACGGCTCTGCTTCTCACGTGCACTTAAAACCTTAGGCCATAGACCACGCGAAATCCGATCGAGATATACAGCTCGATGAGTGGTGACACGCTTGGTACAGGCCTTGCCAAGTTCACGTAGGACCTCGGAGGCAAACGAACCGCATAACTTACAAAACCAGAGCTTAAGATGTGTATGATACTGCATGGCGTGAGATTGATCCACCCACCCACCCGCTATGTGCAGACGAGCCTGGGGGGGCTTATAAAGGATGGACCCATTATAGTTGACCGGCTGGAAGCATTCTGACTGGCGCCACTTGGTTGCAGCAGCCCTGCTGGCCGAGCCTCCACAACAAGTGCACCTCCTCCCGCTCTCATCGAGAGCGTGAGAGGTAGAGAAGAGGGAGAGGGCAGCAGCAGAGGGAGGACGGGGGACGGAGGAGGATGATGCTTTTTCCTGAGCGCCAGGGGCCGCATCGGCCTCCATCGCGTCGATCGTCGCCCTCAGCAGGCGCAACCGCACAAGCCTCGCTCTCCGCTCATGAATGAGAATGCGCTGGCGGAGAGACTCTGGCAGACGAGCAGCGCTGGCCGCGGCTCCTGCCACGACATCAACAACCGTGTTGCCAGTGACCGCCCATCTCGGAGCGGCCCCAGCCTGGCTCTCCGCACCCCCGAGGTGGGAGTGCACGAAAATCAAAGAGACTGAGTTGAAGCCACGCTCCTGAATGAGTTGCCCGAGCTGGGCCCACAGGTCCGCGTCGGGCCCGCTCGGACACTCGAAACGCCTGGCGTACCAGCCTTTGATGACAGGCTCGCAATCTGTGACATACGTGATGCAGCCGCTTGTAGCCCAAACAGCTAGAAGCAGGCTCCTCAGCTCTCCACGGGGGACAGCTTGCCTGTCACCGCAGAGTGGCCCACTGATGGTCCTAGCTATGGACACTGTGGGCTCCAGCTCATGGAAAAGTGCGATGGCACACCCGATGCGACGAAACTTGGTGACAGCAGTGTCGGGGCCACCACTGGCGTCGCCAAAGAGCAAAAGAGGAGCTTGGCCCGTACCATGTCCGAGGCATCCTGGGCCAAGCTCAAAAGGACCTGTCACAACCCAAGCCTCCTCGCGGGCAGGAGGTGGGGCGGCCACCCAAGGGGTAGGTAGCAGCCCCCTTAGCCAAAAAGCAGGCTCAGCCTCCGCTTGCACGGTGGCCTGGTACACAAGATCCTCTGTCATGGTGTACGCCTCCTTATTAGTGTTGAAACTGCACGTCCAAAAGCGATGGAGAGGCGTCTCAGGCTCAAGCTGGCATCGAGGACACTTGTCGGTGCCAGCAAAGCGTGGAATCTCAGCCTTCTTCCTTGTACGCGTCCACGTGCTGCCAACTGCGACCGACAGCATAACTTCACTCAGCCGATGACCGATCTGTGGTACGTCATGTAATTGCTGGATCAGAACACGATAGGAGTCTACATCAGATCCGTCCTGCAATCCTTCACCACAGTGGTGCCGACTAGCCTGCTGCCAGTACCGTCGCTGCAGTACCTCCGAGAAATCCTTGAGGAAACCTGCATGACTGTCCAGAGCCTTCACTCCAGTGTACATCGCATCATCAAATCTCCACTCGTCACCAGCAAACTCATGAGGCTCAGGGATACCCCACCCCGTAGCCGAGGATACAGACCATCCAGACTCGATAAGATGCAAGACGGCTGCTGAGACTGGCCCTCGGACGTACTTGGTGCGGTGCCGTTCTGGAACTCCTTGAAGCTGCTGCACCACTGTCTGCCAAATGCGAGATACCCCTGACCGCACATCAGGATGATCACGCCATATGGATAAATACATGTCTAGGCACTGCACTGGGAGCTTGACGCCTGGGTCCTGCTGCGGTGCTCGGATCGCCAACAGCGTTGTCAAGCACCTGCCTCGCGTCGGCGCCGCGCATGCAAGACCCAGTCGTCGCCGTGCCTGCACCAGCCGCTGGCCGAAGGTCCCGTGCACCTGGAAGCCGTAGGTGCCCGCGGCCTGTGCGCCCTGGAGCTCCAGGCGGCGCGTTGCCTTGTAGCGACGCGCCGCCCTGGCGAACCTCCCGATCTTCAAGCTCATGCCCTTGTGCTTAGCGTCCCTCTTGTTGCGCGTGGAGCGTGCAGCACGAACTCCGCAACTGAGGTCCACTCCAAGGAAGCTCGCCTGGGACTGGGCCGTGATGTGATACCCAGCCTGTCGAACAGCACGCGCCACCCATCTGGCATCGGCAACATCAGTACACATGACCACCGACTTCGGGGACACCCGCAGCTTGCTGGCCTCCAGGGACCTGCAGGTGTCCAAGATGCAGGCCTTCAGCCCGCGACGGACGTGTGCCCGTGATCCTCGTACCTGCTGTGAAAGGTCGTCAACCCACACTCGATGGCTCACCAGCGGATGCTCCTCGACAGCCCGCTTCAGCACGAAATGAGTGAGCGTCCGACCGAATCTAGTGCCCGACCGCAGCCCTTGGACGATGCTGCGCGCGGGCTGGAATGGGGCGGATGTCGCCCCCAACTGGCTGAGCACCCTCGGCGACGCGCACTGAAGGAGCTCCATGTGTAGTATCACGGGCGGGAAATGCATCTCCAACGCGGAGTCGACCAGGTAGGGCCACTCGACCGAGTCGTAGAAGCCATCGATACCAACTAAGCCATGGCCTACATGAACGTTCAAGTGGCCACACACCTCCTCCTGAATAGCTCGGAGATGCGCTTCTCTCACACTGGAATTGCCTCGCACCGCAGCATCCCAACGCTCCTCCGTCTCCGCCGACCACCCTCGCACCAGCGGTTCTCTGATCAAGGACCAGAGGCGGCCGAGCAGCGGAACCAAACCGATGATCCGATCTCCTTGCACCTTCTTGGGGAGCATCCCCCCCAAGATCAACAGAAGCTGGCCAGGCCAGCACAAGCAGGCCTCGCACGCTGTGAACAGCAGCGCAAGTTCAGCCAGTGCCGTGTCTGGCAACCTCTCTAGGTCGACTGGCGATAAGAAATCGACCCCCTGT